ATTCATTTAACCACTTGCCCTGCAGAGGATTTACCCCCCTTCCTGACCAGGCCATTTTTTGCGATACGGCGTTGCGTTACTTTAACTGACAATTGCACGGTCATGCAATGCTGCACCCAAATGAAATTTATATCCTTTCTTCCCCACAAATGGAGCTTTCTTTTGGTGGTATTACATCGCCTCTGCAGTTTTTATTTTTTGTGCTATAAAAAAAAGCCCGACAATTTTGAGAAAAAAAACAATATTTTTGACTTTTTGCTATTAAACACGTCCAGCAAAAAAAAATTAAAAATAAAATGTAGTCATACATTTAGGCCAACATGTATTCTGCTACGTCTTTGCGAAAACAAATCCAAATACATGTAAATTAATTGGTTTACGTGAAAGGTATAGCATCTACAAATGGTGGTATATGTACTGGGATTTTTTTTTTTTATACTAGTAATGGCAGCGATCAGTGACTTATAGCGGGACTGCAGAGGGCATTCTGACACTGGAGGGGAACTGACTAACTGCCACTGACATCCCCAGTGACACCAATACAGTGATCAGTGCTAATAAAAAGCACTGACACTGTACTAATGGCACTGAGTAGGAAGGGGTTAACATTTGGGGCGATGTTAACTGTGGGTTGTGTGCTGTTTTACTGTGTGTGCTTCACTGTGTCAGCACATTGCTTTGTATTGCTCTGCTATGCAGGGCAATACAAAGCAATGTGCTGGAGCTGACGGGAGAGATCTGTATTCATTACATATAGGTCTCTCCCCCATAGGTGCTGGCAGGGAATAACCGTCCGGGACCCGGTGATCGACAGCTGAAGCCGCCAATGGCAGCTCGTGTAGGGTGTGTGCACCCCCTATCCAGAAATGCAAAATCACATACATGATTTTGCGCAGCCCTGCCGCCCTGTAGCAGTATTTCTGCTATAGGGCAGCAGGAAAGTGGTTAATAGTATAGGGAGCAGCTGCAACACCTCAACAGAGGGACTGCTGCTTTCCCATAGAGAACAAGAGTTGCACTCTGCAGCATGCTGGCAGGTGATAAGCTTTTCTACGCAGGCTGTGGCTGCTTTAAAAGAATGAACTGTAAGACAATGTTATCTGTATTCCGGCATCTGGAATGTATTTAGCTGATTTAGACTAAGTTCTCATCTATGTGTGCCAGGAACGCACACAAAATGAGAAGCTTTCCTGACACACACAGAAACGCACTGCCATTTAGAAGACATATGGTGGTGCCATTAATTGTTAATGGCAAACTCTACCCATCTGCAAATGCTCTTGTCAAACCGCATGGTGGTGGTTTGGTGCGGCACAGTATTGGAAAAGGGTCAGGGAATTCTTGCTTGTAACATAATACATCAAAATGTATAGACTGCCCTATATGTAAGGTGCGGGAATGCACCCGCACATGGTGGCACTTGTAGGTGTGACACTTTTTTTTTTTTAGTGGACCAGGCCTAACACACCGCAAACGCATGTTGACGCCTTTGCAGAGTGTTACCATAGACTTGAACGGAAGGAGTTGAGATACTTCAGCTCCTTCTAAATTCCACTTGAAAGTTCATCTCTGAAGCTCGTCAATGCTATGGGCAGGATCACAAGGTTAAAATAAAAGCCTAAAAAGAGAAAAACATTTTTTTATGAAGAAGGGTAAAGTGATACTAATGCCAAAGCGTTTTTTCTAAAATAATAAACCTGTTATACTTACCTGCTCTGTGCCATGGTTTTGGGTAGAGTGGCCTTCTGGAGTTCCCCGCCAGTACTGTCTGCTTTTTCTCTTTTGTGTGTGCCCCACAAGCCACTTCCTATGGAGGCAAATGCGCTGGCTCCCTCCTGAGCCGTGCTGTGTGTGTCTATAGACACACCCAGCGTGGCTCAGCCCGCCCCCAATCCCTCCTCACAGGATTTGACTGAGAACAGTAGGAGCCAATTGCTCTCACTGCTGCCTTTGTGTCCTTTGAGGAGAGAAACAGGAACCAGCATTGCAGCAGATGGGCATAGTGCTGGATTGACATAGTGGATAGATCGAATTATGGCGGTGAGAGGGCAATACGACAACTGGGACATTTTTTATACAAGGAATGCATTAAGGTAAAAACTGTCCTGCCTTTACAACCACTTTAATGATTATTCCCAATGCCCCTATACTCCGATGTTTTAATCTTTTAACTTCCGCAGCCTCCAGGTTCCTAATAATGTGAAGATGCCAAATGTCGTCAATTGGACTCTTGTGTCCCTTTAACTAATAAATGAATGTACTGCGGCTGTTAGGGATCCAGCAACCGTGTACAGTTATGGGAAATATGTAAAGGATTTCATCCGCTTTCACTGTACTGCAAACATTCCTTTCAGATAGGGAAAGCTCCCAACAAGACAATTATGAAGAAACTCCTGTTTACAAATGCTAGGTGTAACATTACAGGAAGACGCGTCTTTTGGCGCCACTGTGAATTATATCTCCATTATTCTAATGATAACAATTGATAAATAGGACTCAGCAAGGCTTACATATGTTTCCCAAGCAGTAACGTTAGAAAGTGTAGAAAGAGTAATTGTTGTGCAGAATAAGCAGACGGCTAAAACACATTCTAACAAATATTAACAGTTGAAGGTCATTTGGAATTTCCAAAGAAAGAGAATGGCCAACGTTGGTCTTTCTCCTCTTCTGATGTTCTCCGTGATGGAGCATGGCAACACCAGTTTTTTACAAAGTCAGCACAGTGGTTAAATGGTTAGCACTTCCACCTGGCAGTACTAGGCTCCTTGGTTTGAATCCTAACCATGGCACTATCTGCCTGGAATTTGCATGTTCAGGTACTCTGGTTTCCTCCCACACTCCAAAGACATGCTGGTAGGTTAATTGGATCCTGTCTGTCTAAATTGGCCCTAGTATGTGTATGTATGTAAGTTAGGGACTTGAGATTGTACGCCTCTTGAGGGTTAGGGACCAGGGGTGGACTGACCATTTGGAAACTCTGGCACTGCCTGAGGTCAGTAGAGGACCCCACGATATGCCCCTGGTACCTTTTTTATAGGCTTTTCTGAGTTTGGGCAAGGATACAGGGGCCCCATGATCCCCTATTGCCTGGGGGGCCCATGAGTTGTCAGTCCGCCCCTGTTAGGGACTGATATGAATGTACAATATATATGTAAAGCACTGCATTGATTAGTAAAAAAATTTGTAAGAAGTGAGCACGCCTAAAAAACAGCCGCTAAAACACCAACAGGTACCAAACACTAAGCAGTAATAAATATATATAATAGAGGTGTAGCGCTAAAAAATCCATATAAAACAGAGAAGTATGCCAATATGTCCACAGATATTATTTACAAACGTATGTCAGACAATAAACGGATAAAACGTCTGATATAACAGCAGAGGAACTTGCGACTCCGACCAAAAGTGAAAAATGCGCACTCACCGGAAGCGCATAGATAATGCACATATATATCCTCAAGGTATAATGGTCAATCCGGTGTACTTTTCCTCACTGCATAGATTGATGGTGCTATAAAAGTACCTGTAATAAATAAATGTAATGCCCCCCCCCCCCTTATGTGCTTTCAGACTTGACCATTCCTAGGTACAGACCAGTAGCTGGGGGTGCAAAGCATGTGCTGGGAAAGCTTTGCAAATATTTAGATTCTCCCAGCAAGTGTTGAAGAAGGAAACATTGGAAAAGTGCACCTGCAGACACCCGAAGGCCTCATGCATACTTGAGCAGAAAAAAAAAAGGTGTTTGATCTTTTTTTCTGCTTCTAAATGCCTCTCCATGTCCACTCACACATAGGTGTCTATAGAAGTTCAGACGCAGAAAAGAAAAAAATATCACTTGTGCAGTCAAGAGAGGATAGAAAAATTGCTGAATGCGCCTAAATATTAGGTAAATACGTGTAAGCGTGCGTAAATGCTAGCATTTTTTCCATTTCAATGGTCAAAATTAATATTTTGGCCAATGAAATAAATAAGCGCCCAAGCGTTTGATGCTCCTAAATGCATTTACAAAAATGCGGCTTAGGCATGTTTTTTAATCTGCTTTTCTCCTGCCAGAAGAAAGTATTTACAAAAGCTCCAGTGTGCATGAAGCCAAAGGCTGCTGACACAATCCTACGGGCAAATAACTGTTGTCAGAACCAGTAGTCGTACAAATAAGATTGCATTGAGCACTGCAGGTATTGAGTTGTCACGGGGGAAATCTACAGCAGGCAGCTGGAAAAACCTATTCTGGCTGCCTAATTCTTCTCCCAAGCAAGATCAGCCATCAGGATGAAGTCTACAAAGTTGCATTCTCTTCTATATGCAGCTTAAAGTGAACTGCTCTGCTCCCCCTCCTAGCAGTGACTCAGGATCTCGGCTCCTCCTGTTTCACCCTTCCAGCAGTCATTCAGCAGATGAAGCTGACCATACCTGTTTAGTTTTTTTAATGCTAAATAGAATCTCCCAAATGAGGTAGATGGAGAAATCCCCCCACTTCCCGGCATGGCAATGTATTTTGACCACAGCATCCAACACTGCCAGATAACACTGGTCAACAGCTGCAGCTGATTGATGGAAAATTTTCCAACATGCCCCTTAAGCTGACTTCTGTTGAATAAGGAAGCCTACATACTGATCGATTGGTGCTGATAACATGCACCCTTCCAAAGAAAAGAAAAAACCCTCTAGCAATACACGCTAAACTGAGCATGTGCAGAATTACTCCTAGAGCTCCGTACTATCAGCAGATGGATTGGCAACAGTGGAAGAAGGGGAGGTTCAGAGAACACAGGATCAAACATCCTTTTTTACAAAATGTGGAGGATTAACCCTTTAGGTTCCACAGTGAAGACAGCAAGCATGCTTTACTGCGGCGCTACTGGAACACAAATGACAATGAGTTAATATGTAGGAAGCATAGAATGTGTACAGCTTAGATGATGGCTGCTCCCCTAAACCAGGTCCTGAGAACCTAATACATATAGAGAAAAAATAAAACAGTCAGCCAGCCGCTGCTCAGCATGGCTCTGCACAGGGGTAGACCGACAACTCATGGGGCCCCCGGGCAATAGGGGATCATGGGGCCCCTGTGTCCTTACCCACACTCAAACCACACCCAAAAAAGCCTATGAAAGGTACCAGGGGCATCTCATGGGGCCCTCGGTCAGTGCCCGGGTGCTCAAATGGTCAGTCCAACCCTGGCTCTGCATAACCACCAGCCGCTTACCTGCCGATCTCTCATACCTAGTGAGTGCGATATGTCACTTTGTAATACAGTTTGCATTTAGAAGGAGGTGCCCTCTTCTGTTTTATTTTCCCTTTATACACAGCGATAATGCTGATGTGAACAGTGATAAGGGTGTGCCCAGGCACATTCGGCACACCCTGTGCGCACGTCTATACCTACGAGTTAGGCTAGTGGTTAGGATGTCTGGGTTCTTCCCTTGCTGAAACTGGCACTGCCAATATTAAATACAGTAGATGTCCACCACGGGCTTACAGAACCATAAAGAACCTGCCATTAAATTTCTTGTTGGAGAAACATAAAGAAAAAAAATGATCTGCCAGAATAAAAATCTGTTTTTCGAGTAGACGGCAAAGAATAACTGCATTGGTTAGGCCACTCATGGGACAAAGAGCACAGAGCTGAGTCGACTTTGTTCCGTAACAAGCTGCTGAATTTCCCCTATCTTCTAATTCATGCAGTTTATTTTTATTCGGGGAGTTGAAGCATTTTAAAGTCCCACTGGGGAGGTAGCTGGCCCGCTCTGGATGAGACTTTTGGAACACTCCTTGTAACTGAACTGTCTCTTTGTCTGTGCCGCGCGTGACGCCAACAAAATCTTCCAGAAGGTTCATATAAATGTCCACTTTTTCAGAGACTTCAGGCCTCATAACGTCATTCGGTTCTCCAAAGTTTTTTTTTTTTCTTATAAATAGAACTTGAGTTGTTTTATTTCAGTCGGAGAGATTGTGATTTTTCCCTAGGGAGTGACTTTCAAACTTGTTAAAGTGAATAACTTATTCACCCTTTCACAAGTTTTTAACCCTGTTTGTTTTTTAGCAGAAACAGCTGCTGTTTGTATAAGGTTTAGTTGGTTCCATGAAATTCACCTTCAAATACTTCAGTTATGGTAATGGAGGGAGTCAAAGAAACCAAAAAAACCCCTTGCTAGATTACTGTTAGGTACAGGTAAACCTGAGCCAAATGACATTTAATATGATAAAGAAATTACCAAGAATAAGAAATTGACATTTTTGTAAAACATTTCTTTTCACATGTTCCTTTCTTTGCTTGCATCTCAGTGCTGCTGATTTCTTACAGCCTGTTTAAGCCACTTCCAGTCGAAATGCATTCAGGCGATGGTAGCATTCAATTTTTTAGGGTGGTCTTTATGTTGGTGACTGAGTAATGTGTGTTGAAATGGTCACTTATGATTTATATCGGTGGTCTGCAAACTAGGGCCAGATGTTGCCCTTTGCCTTTATCCGACCTTTAGGGCACTATCCCACTGATACAAGGAACTATTCCTCCTACTGACAGCAACGATGGCCACTATTCCTCCCATTAACACCACCAATGGGGCACTATTCCTCCCACTGATACCACCAATGGGGCACTATTCCTTCCTCTGATACCACCAATGGGGCACTATTCCTCCCACTGATACCACCAATGGGCACTATTCCTCCCAATGACACCACCAATGGGGCACTATTCCTCCTACTGATACCACCAATGGGGCACTATTACTCCCAATGACACCACCAATGGGGCACTATTCCTCCTACTGATACCACCAATGGGGCACTATTCCTCCCACTGACACCACCAATGGGGCACAATTCCTCCCACTGATACAACCAATGGGGCACTATTCCTCCCAATGACATCACCAATGGGGCGCTATTCCTCCCATTGACACCGACAATGGGGCGCTATTCCTCATATTGACACCAGGTATCTGAAAATATTCCTTCCACCAACACCAGGGATGGGGCACTATTCCTCCCAATGACACCACCAATGGGGCACTATTCCTCCTACTGATACCACCAATGGGGCACTATTCCTCCCACTGACACAACCAATGGGGCACAATTCCTCTCACTGATACCACCAATGGGGCACTATTCCTCCCAATGACATCACCAATGGGGCGCTATTCCTCCCATTGACACCGACAATGGGGCGCTATTCCTCAGATTGACACCAGGTATCTGAAAATATTCCTTCCACCAACACCAGGGATTATTATTATTATTATTATTATTATACAGTATTTATAAAGCGCCAATAGTTCGCTCAGCGCTGTACATTACAAAGGGGGACAGAACATGTGACAGAACAATACCAATACAATGCAAAACATGAGGGGATCGAGGGCCCTGCTCTTTTAAGCTTACAATCTAGGAGGGAGGGGATGGTGGCACAGGAGGAGGTAGCTGTGGGGGATGGAGTGGTAGGCAGAGTGGAGGAGGTCGGCAAGTTAGCAGGGGGCGGGGTAGGCTTCCCTGAAGAGATGGGTTTTCAGGGTGCGCCTAAAGGAGAGGAGAGTAGGTGATAATCTGATGGGTTGGGGCAGGGAGTTCCAGAGGATGGGTGACACCCTGGAGAAGTCCTGGAGGCGGGCATGGGAGGAAGAGACCAGGGAACTAGAGAGAAGGAGGTCTTGTGAGGAGCGGAGTGTGCGTGCTGGGCAGTACTTGGATATTAGGTCAGTGATGTAGTTCGGGGCAGTATGGTGGACAGCTTTGTACGTCAGCGTTAGGATTTTGAATTTGATCCGTTGTGCAATCGGAAGCCAGTGGAGGGATTGGCAGAGGGGGGTGGCGGAAACGGAGCGGTTGGAAAGGTGAATGAGTCTGGCAGCCGTATTCAGGATGGACTGAAGCGGGGATAGCCAGCGGCGAGGCAGGCCAGTGAGGAGGGAGTTGCAGTAGTCGAGTCGCGATATGATGAGGGAGTGGATGAGCTGTTTAGTGGTTTCTGGAGTTAGGAACGTGCGGATTTTGGCGATGTTGCGGCGGTGGAGTCTGCACGAGTTTGTTAAAGAGTGGACTTGGGGCTGGAAGGATAGGTTGGAGTCCAAAATGACACCAAGTACTCTGGCCTGCGGGGCGGGTTTGATGGTGGCGTTGTTGGACATGATGGAGAAGTCAATGGGGGGTGGTGTCCGGGCTGGAGGGAAGACAAGAAACTCGGTTTTGGAGAGGTTCAGTTTAAGGAAGTGGAGCGACATCCAGTCTGATATGTCGCTCAACAGGTGTGTGATTCGGGCGGAGACCGAGGGGGTGAGGTGGGGGGTTGAGAGATAGATTTGTGTGTCGTCCGCATAGAGGTGGTAGTTGAAGCCGTGAGAGTGTATGAGTTGGCCAAGGGAGGAGGTGTAGATGGAGAAGAGAAGGGGCCCGAGGACAGAGCCTTGAGGGACCCCAACAGAGAGGGGGAGTGAGAGGGAGGTGGTGGCATTATAGGTAACGCTGAAAGAGCGTTGTGACAGGTAGGATGAGAGCCAGGAGAGAGCAGAATCTCTGAGGCCGAGGGAGTGTAGTTTTTTGAGGAGGAGGGGGGTGGTCGACTGTGTCAAAGGCCGCAGAGAGGTCAAGGAGTAGGAGCACTGAATAGTGGCCATTAGCTTTGGCGGTTAGCAGGTCGTTGGAGAGTTTGAGTAAGGCAGTTTCGGTGGAGTGTAGGGGACGGAAGCCGGACTGTAGGGGATCGAGGAGGTTGTTGTCGTTGAGGTGAGAGCATAGGCGGGCGTAGACTAGGCGCTCGAGGAGTTTAGATGTAAATGGGAACAGGGAGATGGGTCTGAGGTTGTTCGGGTCATTGGGGTCCAGGGAGGGCTTTTTAAGTATGGGGGTGATGTGTGCATGTTTCAGAGGGAAGGGAAAGTGCCGGAGGAGAGGGAGAGATTGAAAATGTGGGTGAGGGAGCGTAGGATGGAGGGGGAGGGAGGTTGTAGGAGTTGTGTGGGGATAGGGTCAAGGGGGCAGGTGGTGAGGCGGGCATCAGAGAGGATCTTGGAGACTTCTTCGATGGTAGTAAGGTCAAAGGTGCGGAGTGTTGGGGGAGCTTCAGTATGAGGAATGTAGGGTGGGGTGGGAGAGGAGGTCAGAGCAGTGGTGGGGCCGTGGGAGAGGGGTGTAGAGGGGGTAGCTGAGTGAGGGGGAAGGGGGTTGGAGGGAGTTTGAGCAGCGACGAAGTCCCTGTGGGTTATGTCGAGGGGGAGGGGGGATGAGGGGGTAGCTGTGTGAGAGGGGACGGGTTGAGAAGGCGTGTGAGTTGCGGCAATGTCCTTGCGAATTGTGTCAATCTTGTTTTTGAAGTGATTGGCAATCTCAAGGGCAGTGAGTGAGGTGCTGGGTGGAGGTGGGGGGTGGCGAGAGTAGAGAGTTGAAGGTGGAGAAGAGTCGGCGAGGATTGGAGGAGAGGGCCTTGATGAGGGTCAGGAAGTAGGTTTGTTTGGCAGTATGGAGGGAGGATTTCCTCCCACTGACACCAACAATGGGGCACTATTCCTCCCGCTGATACCAACAATGGGGCCCTATTCCTCCCACTGATACCAATGATGTGGCACTATTCCTCCCACTGATAACAACAATGAAACACTGTTCCTTCCATTGACACCAACGATAAGGCACTATTCCTCCCACTGACACCAGGGAGGGGGCACTATTCCTCCTACTAACACCAGGGATGGGACACTATACCTCCCACAGGTACTGATGATAGGGCATTATTCCTCCACCTGACACCAATGATGGGACACTATTCCTCCACCTGACACCAATGATGGGGCACTATTCCTTCCACTGACACCAAGGATGGGGCACTATTCCTCCCACTGACACCAAGGATGGGGCACTATTCGTCCCACTGACACTAATGGTGGGGCACTATTCCTTCCACTGACACCAATGGTGGGGCACTATTCCTCACACTGACACCAATGGTGGGGCACTATTCCTCACACTGACACCAATGGTGGGGCACTATTCCTCACACTGACACCAACGGTGGGGCACTATTCCTCCCACTGACACCAACGGTGGGGCACTATTCCTCCCACTGACAGCAATGATGGGACACTATTCCACCTCCTACTGACCACAGGTGATATGTAATCTT